AGGATAGAAAAGAGCGGTACTGGGGACAACAATTTTGGCAAATGGAAAGGGACATTTCGGTCCGACCGACCGAAATGACCAGACCGGTCACAGTGGACCACCTTCAAAGCTGGTCGCGAATATTCCGGTCGGACCAAACCGAAATGGTCCGTCCCATTTGATGAACCAACCAAATTTTCCGGAATTTTGGGTTGAATGGAAAGCGCCCTATATAAAGTGTGATTCTCCAGGCACCCCCCTCCCCCGCCCCATAGTAACCAAATATATAACCCTGTATATCCTAAAGCATTATAATAAGAAATATATATGGAGATTGAAAAGTGAGAAGATTGCACATATGTTGATATTGGGGCTCAAAGGATTAAATTTTTGGAGGTGATCTGGAGTCATGTCTGAGATCAGCCATTAAATCAAATCTAAAAGTCCACAGCTGATCAAGGAACCAACTTTCCACTCAGTGTATACATTAACCATTTTTAAAAATAATGTCAGGTAAAGATACGCTGTAGATTATTGACTCAAGATTGTTATTAGACCAAAAAATGAATGCCAAATTGCCACAGTAATTCCACATTTGATCTGTTTGGACCAACACCGAAGAGCTCCTTGTGCTTCCTCTTAATGACCTCAATAAATTACTGTGTGACTTCTATAACTGGGGCCACCTAGAAAAAGTGAACCAATTGGATGGCAGGAAAATAGCAATACAGTCTGAGAAAATTACTTGTCAATGATCATAATTACCACAAAACAAAATAAACAACATGGATCAAAATCAACCAATTACAACCTTAACAGACATGACCTTTTGAACTGGCTGGAAAATAGCCTATGTTTTACTGAGAGGTCAGTTAGAGTGTCAACAGAGGGAGAAAATGAAAACATAAGGCATATTTTTGACTTGAGGGTGCATGTTATTGCAAAATGTGGCAATGGTCGCAAAGAAATTGCTGGTAGATGACAAAATAACAGCTTGTGTCAGACATATGTCTCCAGGGCGTTATTAAAATGTAAAGTTTCGTATAGAAAAATAATTGTTGTCTGGTGAAACATTATGCTTTCTTGAAAAACGTTTGCTATCATTATTTAAATTTTGTGCTTTGAGTAAACTATTGTTTTCTTACGAGCTGCTGATTGGCCCATTACCAACTTTCTTGGAATGTATTGTTATTTACCTGTGATCTGGCCGGTCAACTTTGTCTACGGTGGCCCCGGTCACAGTACTCGCACTGTACATTTGTTGCTGATATTTGCGTTATTAAAAATACAGTGCACAAACAATTGACCAAATAGGTTATGTTGTCAATGCTGATTATTGAAACTTTCTCCCTCACAAGGTCAATGGAAAAGGATTTCTTCACCAGAAACCATGAGACTTTTACCAGCAATCAAATGGCTGCAAATGCTCAAAAGCATGTCACAGGCCGTTAAGATTTAATGATGTTGTTTTTTTTTGCTCCACAGCCCCACAAATTCACTGCTCTTCACATGGCAGTAGAGCAAGATAACAATGGAATAATTCAGTTGCTTTTGTCACGAAAAGAAATTAATGTCGATGCATGTGATGAGGTCAGTTTATAAAGTGAAAATAATTGAAGTTAACATTTGCATTTACTCACATGTATGTGTGGGATCAATGGACAATGTAGATGATATGCATTTATCATTTTTCATTATGACCCCTTTTTCATCAAGTGCTATAAATTACTTCATTGCCTTTAATTTTTTCCTATCTTCACTTTCATGCCTGCCCTGTAAGGTTGTAAAAAATCTCTTTTAAATCACCCCTAGCTGGAAAGGCACATGAATAATATAAGGGATGTGTGGAATAATTTAAGCCGTGGGTGACTCGTGATGTGAAATTGCGTCAAATTCTCTCTTCATTTCCCAAGCATAATTATTTAAAAAAACTATCAGAAAAAAATCTACAGCCCCAGTTATAGCAATTTCTGAAATGCTTGTTGATTGTTGTCCTTCTTCCTCTTCAATGTTGGTGTTCAGTGGCAGATCCAGGGGAGGGCCCCACCCCTTATTTTTAGACCAAACTGAGGCCTGAAGGGCCGAAAAAAAATTTGGGGGGACCACCCCCCCTTATCTCAAGGTCTGGATCTGGCACTGGGTGTTGACAAGGTAATGAGGTCCAAGCAAACCTGTCAAACCAACTTTGAAGGGAAGAGTGGGGAGATATATGTGTGTTGCAGTTAATTTTTTACTTCAGTAAGTTTTTGTTTTTCCTTTGTTTTAAATTCATTAGCATACATAATTCTCCATACCCAAACACAAATTTGGAAAAAAATAAAATAAAAGGAAATAATTAACTGAAATAAATAATTAACTACAACATGTGCCTATACAGTACTACACAGTTGAGTCTCTTGTGTTCTCTAGAAGTGTTCCAAGGAATTATAGCATTCTATCACAAGTCACTCATGTTTTTTTTTACCAAGCATCCCATTTCCTATAAATTGAGGCTGATAATTTAACTGGGAGTTTTTTGTCATATTTTTCTCCCTCTGTGAGGATCACAGGTGATTCTCTATATGGGCTATTTGCACCAGAATCAAAGTTGCGTAGATAATAGATGAAATGATAAACTTTATAAATTAAAAATTAATATAAAGAATTGATTATAAGTTCATGAATAATAAGGAGTATGAGACAAAGGAAATAGAGAATCAACCATAAAGGTTAAAAAATCTTAACCTGAAATTAATTTTGAACTGTAACATATATACAAGTGGCTCCTGCTCCTAAAAGAATAAGGAGACCCCCTGATTTTATTTAAAAAGTGAATTTTTATTAACAACATCCTGCTGTAAATTATAACAACCAGTTGGTAAAGTTTGAAGAAATCTCACTGCAGGTTCTTTTGCAGAGGATAAAACTCTGAGCAATAAAAATAAGACTGTAAAATGTAAAAACATTAATTATTTTTTTTATTTCCATGGGAAATTGAGTGTTTCGGGAAAACTTTTATCGTATTTTTGTCTTGTCTTTCTTGTAGTATGGGCATACTCCACTAAAGCTGGCAGCTGAGAAAGGAAATCAACAGACAGTTAAATGGCTTATTGAGAAAGGAGCTGACATAACCAAAGCTGACTCAGTAGGTTTAATGTTTTTTAGCTCTTCAAAAAGTGTTTTTTTTTAAGCTAATACTTTATATTAAGTGTCATGATTTGTTTTTAGGTCTATTACTATCCAGGAATGATAATATTTTTTATAAAAAAAGTGATAGTCACCATTTCCATCTTCATTCAGCTTTTGCCATTGGGACAGCGATGCTCTGTACAGTGACACCTGATCCAGAAGTAAATTGTTTGTAAGAGTGTCCGTGTTGAATCCAGAATCCATTAAGACCATAATTATCTGGCCATGGATTGCGATTTCCCCTGAATATACAGGGCTGTTAAATTGTGCTTTTAAATAAGTTTTTGTCTCTTTTTGTTCAGGTTGACAACACAGCCATTCATGTGGCAGCTGACAAGGGGCACTATGGTGTGTTACAGTTGCTATTGTTGTCAGAAACTTTTGCTAAGAATCAAGGGATCATTGGCAAGCAAAATAAGGTACAGGTTTTTAAATTCTGCTTGGGGCAATGGGGGTGGTGGGATGGGGGAGTGGTGTGGATTGAAGGAGGTATCAATTAAATCCACACCCTTTCTCCCAAAGCACTAAAGTTTACTTACCCTGTTATGTTAATTCCTCCTTCGACCTCGCTCAATCAGAAACTTTAAGGTAATTCCCTTCAAATGGATAATAATGTACTGTCCAAAATTTTTTCAAATGTGGCACAATTATTGAAGGTCATGTATAGGACATTGAAGAAGCGATGATGATGGGGTCACTGGCTGTGTTTTTTCCCAGCTTGCCTGTTATACTTAGAGTTTTTAACTGCATGTTTAAAACTTGAAAACTGTCAAATGCTTGTAATTCTTTTTGTATTATTTAGCAAGAACTACAAAAATTGATAGTCATGTATAAGACATGCAATAAAGGAAATGCAATGAAAATATGGGCTCACCACTCCGTTTTTTGTCTGAGTGTTTTTTCTGACTTGCGTGCAAAACATTCAGATCTTGAAAACTGTCTGTAACAGGACAGTGAAACGGCAATACAGTTATTTACGCTTCAAATCAGTTTATTTTATGCCAAGGGACTGGGTTAAAACCCTTGGCCCAAAACTTATTTCATCTAACCAGCCAAAAAATGAAACAGAATTTACCAGCCTGGGCTACTGGACATTACTTTTGCATTCTGCTACATCCAAACTATACCCCTGCCCCCCCCCCCTCCAAAAAAAAAGATTTCATCTCTATTCTCAGGCACAGTGTAGTATTTTTTTTCAAAGAGAAGTGAAAAGAATTATGGGCTGTATAGAGAGAAGTTGTCCCTGGTAGTCCCAACTAGCTACCTGGACTACCCTGGGCGAGCCAACTTTACTTGCATGAGAAACAAAAAGCAAGGTCGGTTAGTAGCATGGCCCGGCTAGCCAGGACTCACCCTTTTGTGATGGTAGGGGCTCCCCAAGGGGGGAGGGGGGTATTCCCTTTTAGTAAAATCCAACTAGTGGTCTATTATCAATGTTGCATTCTGATTGGTTGAACTACTACTAAGCTATATGTTATAGCCCACTAGTAGCGATAAGCACAGGCTTTGAAAACCAAAACAACAGCGGCTGAATCACGTTTTGCTAGTTAAAGTTGTTTTGTCCTGATATTTTTGACCAACTAGTTGGATTTTACTAAATCAATTATTCCTCTCTCCCTCATGGCCACTGAGGCAATAGCCCATTCGGCCTTAGGCCTCATCCAAGTAATGATGACAATATTTCTTAGAGTCCAGGTCTGAAAACGGGTGTTAAAAATGACATTTTTTGGTCTTAAGTAGGGTCAGGATTTGGACAACCGGGCGGCACAGTAACAACAAGAATTCCCAGGAGTACCTCCCCCCCCTCCAGGGGCACCCTCCTAGCTGGGCCAACTCTCCTCCATATAAACAAAGCCAAGTGTGTCCTTCTTTGTTTTAGCAATTTAATATGTGCTTGACCATTATCTAAACACGCTTAGCATGCAGCGGAAGCATGTTGTGAGAATGCTTTGGAACATCTTTAGCTTCAAAATCCTGTGGTGGGTGGATCACATATAAACAATTTAGCTTGCCTAGTTGGGTCAACTTTGGTCAAGGCAAGACAATCAGAGCATACGCAAGTGCTGTTTTGACAATCAAAGCGTGCACTAAGTGATGTTGGCTTGGGCAAAGGAGTCAACTTTTCCTCATATAATCGCTTGCTAGGGTTCAGTGACTCGGCTGAGACAGGTTTTTTCTGTAAAACAGGGCCTAAGCAAGCCTGAGAAAACAGTCGACATTTGGCGACGTTAACCACTGGTTTTCCCGCCAAATGACGTCAGCGAAAGACGCGTCACTACCCAGATCTGGGTAGTGCTTCTGATTGGTCGTGCCGCGTGGGAAATTTGATTGCACCAATCAGAAGCACTACCCATTTCTAGGTAGTGCTATTTATTGTCGCTGTTGCCATAATTTGCACCAAACGTACATGGTATCAAGTGTAAAACTGACTGCAAACATTGATCTTTAAAGACGTTATTTACATGTATTTATGTTGTAGAATTATGTGTAAATAATCCTAAGAATATATCTTTCCTTTATTGTAGGATAAAAATACTCCTCTTCACTTAGCTGTCGCGCGGGAGTGCAAAAATTCTGTTGCTCTGTTGTTGTGTTATGGTGCTGTTTCTTCACTGGAGCTAGAAAACAGGGTAAGAATCCAGCCTCAATGTATTGTGCACCGGCAATGGCGACAGCAACGAGAACCACAAAAAAAGCAATAGGTTTAGATCAGCAAAAGAAAGTTTTTCACGTTCATCACCCTATTGTGTACATTTTTTTACAAACTGCTTTATTTCACATTTTGTTGTAGACGTGAACACAAACCAACTATTTCCTAATTCTTTTTTTAAACTTACAATACAATCATTTAGAATTCAGCCCCAGAAAAGATCACCAGCATTTGACAAATTGAACGACACCGTTTAAGTGCGATGAAAGCTCTCTATTCTCTATGTCACACTCTTATAGATCATAGGTGTTTCACTCAGAAGTTTGGGATCATAACTGGGCCTGAGATGTAGCTGAGCTGGGGATGAGTGCCTCCTACTGGTTGAGGCCACGGTGGGGTACTCAATACGTATAAATTGGAAATTGTAGGCTAAGAAAAATAGTAACAAATACCGAGATCTAAAACCTATGAATAAAAATTATATCGTTTTTTACATTACTCAATTGGTTAGTGCTATTTACATGGAGAAAATCGACGCAGTTGTGATATAAAATTAAATTCTTGCAAATTAGCCAGGATCAGCGCCCCTTTAAGGCCAATCCAGAGCCTCTGTTAGCACTGCAGTGCTCTACCAACTGAGCTATGAAGACCCATACATTGGGAGTAGGTCAATTGTTGAGTTCCTACGAAAGTTAGCGTTATGTTGCACTTAGCCTGAGAAAAATAATTGGAACATCATCTGCTACTATCGCAAGAAATATTAGCCCTTGTCCCCCGGCTTGGCTCTTGACCACTATAACGTGCACAGAAAATCCCCGGAAAATGTAGTCTGCTACACAGCCGTTTTTAGTGTCGTCACCTAACGCTCCGGCTGTGTAGTAGACTACGGAAAATGGAAAAGTGAAATGATTAAAGATGCTGTAAAGCTCATAGAATTCCAAAGAAGTAAAACAGACAATTTTTCAATGTTTCAATGTCTCTCTTTTTTTGCTGAGATAGAATCGAAATGGTCTTCATTGTGTAGATTACCAAGTTAAACCGAGTTTTTTCTTATAGTCCTCGAATAAACGCCGCATTTTTCTGATTATCTAATCTAGGATGGAGTTTATTTGAATAAATACGGTACATTATATAATTTCGTTGAAAATTTTTTCGAGTAAAAGGTGTACAAGTGTTGATTTCAATTTGACCCGGTCTCAAGTTGTAGGATAATGCAGTACTGTGTATCAGTTTGCACTGGTAACCCATGTGGTACCAGTTGGGTGAGCTATTAACAAAATCAGTTCCTAATTACTGACTTTGCAGCATAATGAAACACCCAAGCAGCTAGCAAAAGGCAACAAAGGCATCCTGGATCTTCTGGAGAATCCTTTTAAAGCCAGACAGGTTAGCATCATGAAACATCATTTCTCTTACGGGTATTATCTCCACCCATGGTCCTAGTTATAAAAGAAAACTTACTTGGTTTGTTTTGGTTTGCATGTACAGCATTTAATGGAACCGACCAGACCAGTTGTCAAAGAGATTGGAAGAGGTGGTTCAGTGGAAGCTGATAGTGGTACATTTTAGACTCATTACACTTACTGTGAAACTCACACAACCGTGAACACCAGAAATATTTATGGAATGTTATTGTGGTGCGAGAAATAAGCCAATAAGGCGTGAGATAACTAAACCGCAAACAGCAACGGTAATTAGTTTGTGGTTTTGAGGTTTGCTTGTATATCCTGAACTTTAGTGTGATTGGCCAGTACACAATCAACATTCCTGAAATTTTTCAGTTGTTCACGGTTTTCTGAGTTTGACAGTAATATAATTATGTGGTACAACCAAGAGATCATAATAGGACAAGGGAGGGAGTAACTAGCCTGCGTAGCAAGCGTTTCCGTTTAGTTTCGGAGCAAAAAACGACCGAGGAACGGGATTTTCCATTTTGACCGCGCGAGAAATGAAACGAGAGCCAAAAAATGAAAGAGGGGGAGGGGGAGGGGAAGGGGTTTCCTTCCTTTCTTCCCCACACCCTCCCCGCTCTTTTACTTACGCCATTTTTCGCGCGGTCTTTGACTCTTGTTCTTCGTTCTTTGCTCTTAAACCACACAGAAACGCTTGCTACGCAGGCTAGGGAGTAACCTGAGATCAGGCCCAAATTTAGCGGTTCTCATACATTCTCTTTACCCACCGAAATGTTATTTACAAAGCGAAACGAAAATTGAGCCTGATCTCAGGTTAGGGAGGGAGTGTCCCACTGCAGTGATGCCACTGGGATATCTTAATTTCAAAAAAGTTATTTTTAGAAACTATGCAGACCATGTGGAAACAGTTTCCGGTAAACTAGTTGACTTCCCATTGATACAACACATTGTATGCAACCTTCTTAGTGTTTTGTAATTCGTTCCTTCCCACAAAGATCTAAGAAACATTCCACGCCACAAGAACATGTCTAAAAAAATCCTAGTATTGGTTATTTTTTTTATGTACAGAATTTCCACTTTGAGCATAATCGAGTTATTCTAATTGGACTCACTTGTTTCTTATCTACATTATGATCGTCTACCCCCTCTCCCCCTATCGAAATTGCTAGAAATACAAGACCATAAATGCACAGAAGATCATCACAGTTAAATATAATTTTTTTTCTGCATTTATTTCGTCTTTCCGTAGTTCAAATAATTATATGAAAGTCATAATTATATTCATCATTCCAGTACAAGACCTAAAAAGCCTGTTTTACGTCGGAGGGACTCTTCGTTTTTGCAAGTAAATGTAACTTCAAAGGTGCATTTTTCGGCAAAGTATGATACGTTCTTCAGTATCCTTCCCTTAGGGGATTTTATAGCTTAATAAGTGAATCCTGAATTTTCTCTCTCTTGGTATTTTAGTTCCTTATTTTATTCCCAGCACAGTTTAATGACTATCGAGCTACATATCTCGTATAGCATTTTTTGTTATCTAAGGTCTAGGCCAAGCGTCGATGTTTCCATGAGACGAAGTAAACTTAAGTTCGTCTGAATGAGTTTGGATCGTCTAATACCGTCGTTCTATCAGTCTGCTTTTGAACGCTAGAAGATCGTCTCCGGGTCGAACGTCGATCTTCACATGCGACGAACTAAACTTATAAATTAAAAATTTGTTTGATAATGTATATTTAGCCTCGTTCGATAGAAAATGTATTAAAATTGCTTTTTGGTCTGATTCAGTTGATTGGCTCGACGCGTCCTAAGTTGCACGTCTGATGACCCAACAGACGATTTTAACTTAATTTAGGTCGATCCAAAGTAGAGTTTGGTTCGTCTCATGAAAAGTTCAACGTTTAGCCTAGGCCTAAGCCATCTTATACCTTTGCACGCTAGATCGTTATCCTGTAACAGAACAAATTGTGTCACAACCCACCAGTACTTCACTTGCAACAGTGTTATCACAAGCGACACCTGGCTTTCAACCAACCAGTAAGTTGTGTATTAAGTAGATGGTTGAATAAATAAATGAAAATAAATAAGTAAATATTAATAGGACTAGGTGGAATCCGTTTCGGTCTGTAATCATACGTATCCGAATTGTTTAATCACGAGTATGATTACAGACTGAATTGGACAACACGAAATAAGAGCCACGAATTAATCATAACTTTGAAAAAAAATTGCCATATTTTAAATAAGCTTGTTTAAAATTAAAACGCAGGATCTTCAGGTTTTACAGAACTGAATAAATTGTCTGGTGTACATTTTAAAGGTTCTGCTCTTCGTACACTCATTCTCCCCTGCTGAACATAAACTGTACCAAGCCGTATCTTGGTCCGCTATATAGAAGCGATAACATCGTTCAAATTTTAAAGTGTAAGATCCCTAAAAGAGTTCTCCTCACTGGAGCAATATGTAAAAGGTTTTCAAACGTTTCACCCCTGTGAAGATGTGCGGCCTGTCACCTCTTGTAAGTTTTCAAGTGAAAACGAAGAATTTGAGGATTAAAAAAAAAATTGTACTTGTTGTTCAAACAACGTAATGACCAGGCCCGGGTTGCTCGAAGCATGGTTAGTGCGTTAAATACCATGGAAACCTATACATTTTGATACCTCTTAACCAACGGTTAGCGCTAACCAGGCTTCGAGCAACCGGCCCCAGGACTGTTACGAATGATCAGAAGAAACGATACGACAGTTTGCTAACCAAGTGAAAGTTTCATGGAATAATAGACAAAACAATGAAAGGCAGTTTAAGAATAAAACGGCAAGATGCTGCAGTGCAGTATCAAAGCTTTATTTTCACTGAAATAGTATAGTTTGGAAGAAGGAGATTTCTAACACCAGAAAGCTCAGAAAAAAATGCTTGCTCCGGGTGAGATCGAACTCACGACCCTCCGAGTTCTAGTTCGGACGCTCAAACCACTGACCTACTGGAGGTCGGCTCTATGGCGACGAATGAGCAGGGTCGAAATTTAACTATAACTACACCGGTTAATTAATAATATACATAAGTATTACAAAATGTATATAAATAATTTATAAATTGTCACTGTAGCGTCTTATTTCATTCTTTTCTGTCAAGTGGTTGTTTTGGAGTATGTTTTATTATTGTTTACAACAGTTATAAAAATAAGTTCGATTTATATAGGGTTGAAACAAAAATAAACTAGGGGCAAAACATATATCATTTGGGGTCAGCAGGAAGGTTTGAGTCACTAAGGGTAAAATTATGGGAAATGTATGATGCGGTTTTAATGCGAGTTAACGCGGGATTCGAGTTTTCGGCTTCATAACTATACAAAACAAGCATTTCCGGACTGTTGTAATGTGAAATGGCGGCCTTGAAAGTGAGTGAGTACCCCACAGGTTAACAAATTGGCCTCAGCCGATATATTTGCAATGATTAAGCTGGATTTCCAGCCTTTGTTCGAAAAATAAGTCTGAGTTTCTCCCCCTCGAAAAGAGGAGGAACCAGACCGTACCCTAGAGAGCAGCGAAAATCGAACCTGACTTGAATCCAAATCTGTTTGTAGCTGATACTATTTTGTTGTTTCAGTAATGTATGTAACAACACCACAAGTTACAGTTAAGAATGAATACCACACTAAAGTTGGCAATGGTGGATATGCAGCGATTGGATCCCACAGTAGGCTTCATGTGGGACAATCAGCTATGACTACTGGGTTAGTGTATGATCTTATCTTAGGTCATTGTGATGTTAATTTGAATCTGTTTGCTTTGCACGGTTTTCCCTTGAAATTCAGAAATGTGGAAGCGGTGTGGGAGGGAAATTGCGTATCTTTGACTTAAGATGTCAGTGGTGGTTTGAAATGAGTTGAATCGTAGAGGCAACCATATGAGATACTTCTGACGTATTTGGAAAGATTCTGTCGTTGGGTGTCCCAGACGAGACAGAGTCCTTGGTTACGGTACAGTATACAACTATCCCCCGAGGGGGAGGTGATTATTGGTCGATGTCAATATCTGTCTAGCCAAGGAGAAAAAAGCATATAACCCTCTTCTGACCCAGTAATATGCATCGGTCATGGGGGAATAGCCCATTTTACAGTATGTTACAGGTGCAAACGCGATTGACCTACACCCATCCAAACCTCTTATTTCATTGGTGCCTGTAGCCTGCACTACCTATTGTTTTCAGGGATAGGGGCATTGTTATGTTACCATCCCTGTTGTTTTCCTAGCCAATCACAATCGTTGTTTGGAATAGATGCGGGTCGGCCCGTGCAAACGATGCTGGAGTTGACCTTGTTTTGATACAACCCTTCCTGCTTTATTATGTAAATCATGTTGTTGTTATACTAATTATTGTTTTTTCATTTAAATTTCCATAAAAAAGAAGGAGGTTTGTATCACGACAAGGTCAAACTGAGCCTCACGTCCACTCAAAAGCTAGGATACTAAGCCCACAACTTTAAAATGGTCTATAGTCGTTCGACTATTTAGCAAACCCTTTAATAAACTAATGACATTGCTTCGGGGTGTTATTGACTGTAATTTGACGATTTTGTCGCAATGTCAAAACGAAACATATAAGCAAAAAATGTTCAGAAGTAATGTACAGGCCGTTTTTATGCAACCTATCGTTATATCGCTCCTTTCTTTTCACTGAATGCAACTTGTGGTACAAACTATAGTCTGCGATGCTGGCGTATTTTTGAGCAGGTGAAAGCTGCCTTGTTATATTCGTATCCCTGTGGCCACCATGTACAATGTTCAACATAGGGATATTTTGGTGAGCAGGAATAGAGGGACGAGGAAAGAAGAAGACGGGCGAGGTGGGAAAGAATTCTCCCATCCTTCTTGCCCGCTTTGACTTTCCCCAACTCTTCGACGTTTTTCTCATTATGGCGGTTACAAGAGCAGAAAGATTCGGGCACTAAAAGAAAACTCATGAGAATGTAAATTTTGATTTGTTCTTGTACAGTGTTNAATGTTCAGAAGTAATGTACAGGCCGTTTTTATGCAACCTATCGTTATATCGCTCCTTTCTTTTCACTGAATGCAACTTGTGGTACAAACTATAGTCTGCGATGCTGGCGTATTTTTGAGCAGGTGAAAGCTGCCTTGTTATATTCGTATCCCTGTGGCCACCATGTACAATGTTCAACATAGGGATATTTTGGTGAGCAGGAATAGAGGGACGAGGAAAGAAGAAGACGGGCGAGGTGGGAAAGAATTCTCCCATCCTTCTTGCCCGCTTTGACTTTCCCCAACTCTTCGACGTTTTTCTCATTATGGCGGTTACAAGAGCAGAAAGATTCGGGCACTAAAAGAAAACTCATGAGAATGTAAATTTTGATTTGTTCTTGTACAGTGTTCAGCCCCAGCTTCCTTCCACTGGTGAAAGTAGCTACATTATCAACATGTCTGGTGGACATGCCAGTATTGGTGACCACAGTGTAACCAATGTGGGAACAGCAACACCAAGGTGACGTATACCAAATATTATTTATTGTTTAATGACCGTTGTGCTACGTTACTGTTCTTTAATACTGTAATCGCTAAAGGACCCTATACAATCAAAGCGCTCGTAACGGACCAACTTGGTTTGTTTTGCGGGTCTATAGCAGGAGCCCATAAAACAGATCGAGCAATGTCCATGTTCTTGTGTCACGGCGTATATTTCAGAACGATTGTGACGCGAATTGAGAATATGACTCAAACAAGTCAGCTGAAAATGTTTTTTTTTTTACCTTTAAATGACGCTTTGTTTTGCATATTCATGCCTTATATACTTCAAATGAATGCGTTTTTAGAAAGAGTGCAGCTTCCAATTTCGCGGAAAAACTGCTTTAAAATTCCATCTAAAGATAAGCCGGTCCGTGAAAACGCTGTATAGTTCTTGCTCACAACCTCCGACTTAAAAATCGTAAAAAAAGGAGCTTGTCATAACGGCTTTTATGTAGTCACAGAGTGTTCATGTCCTGTATTGTAATTAGCATAGGTTATATCTTTCAGAACTCCAAGTACTACAGAAAGTATCGAATCTCCATTTGGGTTTCCGGAGAGTAGGAGTGGTACAAACCCCGTGACTGCTAGCTCAGGAAACCCTACAGAAAGTGAAAATATCTCAAATACCCCTGAAATACCTACGGCAGTTCCTGAAGTGGGCAGTGTAGGATCTTCCGAGCAGATTGCAGTTGCTACTGGTTCTCGCGGAGCATTGTCCGGCAGTCCTGTTCCAGAGACAAAAAACTCAGGAACCCCCCCTGGAGATTCAACCGATGTTAATGTCCCTGAAAAATTACCTGTGAGCGTTCCTGAAGCAGGCAGTGTAGGGTCTTCCGAGCAGATTGCAGTTGCGACTGGTTCTTGCGTAGCATTGTGCAGTCCTGTTCCAGAGACAAAAAACTCAGGAAGTCCCTCTGGAAACTCAGCCGATGTTCAGAGCGTCTCTGAAAAATTACTTGCGAGTGTTCCTGAAGAAGGCAGTGTGCGATCCATCTCGGAAAAGGAAAATGCTGTCAAGGGTCTTGGAACATTGTCCTACCCTGTGACTGAAAGTAATCATCCTAAAACTCCCACGGAAAATTCAAGTGACGCTGCTGATAGCCCTGGGAGATTGCCATATCCGATTCCTGAAGAAAATAAAAAACCGGAATTGGGCGAATTAGAAAGGGCTGTTTGCACTTCTCGTACTGAAACTACAGCAACTACTGCAGGTAGTCAGGATGCCGCCTTGTCAAGTATTGAAGGTTCAGTAAACTGTAGTAGTTCAGAGAGATGCACACCACTGTCTGGAATTGGGAAAAAGTTAAACCACAGAAAAGCGTCTGAGGAAAGTAGAGCAACTGCTCATTTACAGATGCAGCGTACATGTAGAGATGAAAAGATAACTGCTTCAGCTTCGTCAGCAATGCAGGGACCTTCAAGTAAGCCTTGTTCATTTATCTGGGTACTTTACACCGTTGTGCAAGTTAGTACAACACCTTAGAGGGTCATCTCTTCGATGTATTTTTTTGGCAATACTGTGATATTAGACGGGCATTCTTTGCACAGGGGTTGGAGTGAGTAAGCCTACCTTCAATGTGGTAGCAGACCGTTCATAGCCTAGCATGCGTAGCCGGTGTCGAAAGTGGAGGGGGATTGGGGAGAGAGGCACCTTCTTTTTTCCCTTTTGTGCTTTTCCCCCCTCTCTCTCCCCTTTTTGCGCCTACCCGACACGCAGGCTATTCTTTAGGAGGTAACCTCCTACGCAGATGTTCTTAGGGCTTCTTCCTCCGGTGGAACTCGTGACGAAGTCCTTAGAACGTCTGCGTGCGTGGCTTATTACCCCAGTATCAGCTATAGTGGAACTGCCCACCTACCTCTCCCTTAAGCCAACATTCTGCCCCAAGTGAGAAGTAAGTTTTAATGTTGGCTTAGGGTAGAGGTAGGTGGGCAGTTTCCAATAAACTTATACTGATCCGTAATAGAAAAATATATGAAAAAGAACCTCGATATAGCGAAACCTCTGTGTAGCGAACCAATTTTGCAGGTCCCTTGGGCGTTCGTTATGTCTAGGTTCCACTGCTGCAAAATTCCTACGGGCAGGGAGCAAACAAACTAATTTTGGAATCGGCTTATCCTATTTTCTTTTGCGTTAGATAACATCAAACTGCCTTTAGCAGGGAATACCATTCCACCGACAAATAGAGCTGATGAACTAAGCAATAGACTACTTGGACAATGTAGTATTTCGGGGCCGCCACCAGATCACGCTTTTGCGGCAGCATCTAATGCAGTTGGTGAATTCAAGAATTCAACCGCACCTTCAAGGAGAAGTTCGTCGAAAGAAGCGCCACACAGAAAAGAAAAATATGTGAGAGGTGACTCCTTTCCCGACAGTGATGTTTTGGTAAACCAAGATCAGAGGCAGATAACAGAATCAAACCAAACAACGAGAGTTGTCGGACACAGCTATCAACACAGAGTTGGTGACGGTGTGGGTAGCGAGAACAGAAGTGAATCAGCACAGAATGAAAATAGTTGTGTTGTACCAATTAATTCCGATCCTGGGGATGACACAAAGGGAAAGGAAAGGTGCGATAAGGATTGTAACATCATGTGATCTTGTTAGGTGATTAACAGCGCATTGTGTCTAACTCTATAAGCAAATTAAAACTAGACGTCAAGTAAAAGCGGCGACGTCCAGAAGATGACACAAGGCTCTTTCTGCTAAAAGTCTATCGTATATGGATCATTTGGATAACCACGACCAATGGACACGGCTAAATAACTGCATCCTTTAAAGGTGGACATCGGTTTGTGTCTACACAGTAGTGAAGTGGGCATCTCACAGGTGGACTTCTCTATGTAAGAGCTCCCATGATTGGTCCAATATCGCGTGGACATATTGACTCTTGACCGATGACAGGGCGGCAAATTGAGAGCCGAAAGTCCCGTCCAGTCCTTTCCACGCGCTTTCCCGTCGTCAACTGACGTTCCCGTTCTGTTGCTAAATCAGCCTAATAGCTTCCTTTGGGCAGTTTAGAGAAATACTTCTAAAAACTTTCTTCAGTTTCGAATACATTGAATTCTATTTGCAAAAGTGTTGTCAAAAAGCCTTTCGTCATTGAGTGGCGTGCGACGGTATTATTGCAGTGTTCTTTTTACAGAGAAACGTTGTTAGCTTCGTGCCATTTCAGTATTTTGTAATAATCTGACGTTGTCATTTTGTTGAGTAAATGAGGACATTACGTTGTTTACCCGTGACCTGTCTGCTTAAAGATCGGAAAACTTCAGCACTTTTATGGACAGGTGTTATATGAAAGGAAGTATCCTGAAAACATTTCAGAAATTGTGATGGTAAAATTTAAGTGGTGTTGTCTAGGCTATTTTTAAGCTTTATAGCGGTTTATAAAAAGATAGGTGCCGTTATAGATGTAAGAAAAGGCTTTTTATAAGAACCTACAAAAATCAGTGTGAATCCGGCGTTTAACATCGTTTATTATTTTTTAAAAAGAGTAGATATTTTTGTTGAAGTAGGTTGGCGTTTTGTTGAGTAAATGAGGACATTCCGTTGGCTACCTGTGACCTGTATGCATATAGATCGCTAAACTTCAGCACCTTTATGGCCTGGTATTGATGAAAGGAAGTATCCTGAAAATATTCCAGAAATTTTAATGGGAAAATTTAACTGGTTTTGTCTAGGCCATTTTTAAGCTTAAGCGCTTTATAAAAAAGATAGATGGCGTTATAAATGTTAGTTAAGGCTTTTTGTAAGAACCTGCAAAAGTCAATGTAAAGTTTATTATTATTTAAGAAGAGTAGATATTTTTATTTAAGTAGGTTGGCGTTTATTCTATAGCTGACTGGGATATTTGCATAGGTTATACCCTGTTCATAAGACATGTTCCAAGAAAGGTGACGACGAAGCAAACTGTCTTAACCATGGGAAAAGAAAAAGATAAATTTGTTTGAATTTTAAACAATAGGATACTTAACAACTTTTTTACAAAGCTGTTTAACTTCAAATTGGTGTGGTTTTAATTGTTACAAAATAAGGGGTACCAAACTTAGAAATGGCTTGCTCGCAAAAAAAAAGTTAGATATCTTACTGTTTTTGTTAGTTTTTTTGAACACGGACGAAGAAATTTACATTAATGGTCTCTTTCATAGAAGAAAAGTACCGGCATGAAAACAGTGAATGGTTGGAAGAATTTGTTAAGCACTTAAAGTGCATCATATGATTTAATGTGCTGTGTTACTCGGTAAAAAGACAAAGTCTATTCAATAAATCAGTTAGTTGGCTGTAATTTATGTTACCTTTGCTTGCTAAAGTTGAATGTGGAACTTGTTCTGGAATGTCATTCATCTACCGCGGACGACTCCCCCTCACTTTTACGAGCTTTAGTTAATTTAATACATGCAGTCCCTTTCACATCAAGAATGCAGTTCTTTAGTTTTAACGCTGAGATCATGCTGTGATATCTATTTTTGGATTTTCATTTTTACCCTTCGCTTGGAAAATCCCGAAAAGGATTTGAAAAACTGTTCTTAAGAACAGCGGTCTTGCACGCGAACGCATAATTAACAAAAAGAACACCGCTGTTCACGAGAACAGTTTTGCAAATCCTTTTTTGGATTTCCCATCGAACGGCAAAAAGGAAATCCATGAAATCCGGATTTGGATTTCTTAATTGAAATCCACCCTGAGGACAGATTTCTCGGAGGTGAAATCCGTTTTCGGATTTCGTGTTCGTTTGCAAAATCCGAAATCCGGATTTCCCAACAGAACGCAAGGGAGGGGGTTTAGCCGGATCTGTTACCGAAGAGTAAGGCCCAGTTCAGACGTCGTGCTTCTGCCGCGGCGAACTAAATTCAGGAATTAAGTTCGACAAAAGCACGACAGAAGCACGGCGTCTGAATCAAACTTTTGAATTAAGTTCGGCAAGCAATTAAGTTCAACAAGCGCTGCCGTGCTACACGGCTCTGGCACGGCAGCGATTCAAACGTCGTGCTTCTGCCGCGCTAAACAAAATTCATAAATTCATGATGGGCTCCTGATAAATTATATTAATGTATTTTGGCGAGATTGCGCTCCCACGGGGAGTTGGGAGAAGAATTGTTACGAGGCATCAGTAAATCCTGAATTTGGTTCGACTCTGGCACGACGTCTGAATCGAAGTTGTTTTCCTGCCGTGCTACAGTCGAACCAAATTACAATTAAGTTCGGCACGGCAGAAGCACGACGTCTGAACTGGGCCTAACGATGGTACTACATTTTGTGTTTATGTCTGAAGTCCTATTTGACAATTCAGAAGTACCTTTCTTTGGTATGATACCGTATCGTTTAGGCTACGTCCACAGGGATTCCTAAATTTTTGAAACCGCTTCCCTTTCACACGAATCGGCCTTCCGACTACTCGAGCTTAACCCTTTAAACTCTAAGATCAAAATTTGAATTCTCATTTGTTGCCCCTATTCATTTGCTCAGAAGTAGTGGGAAGAAGTGGATAAAATATCAAGTAAATTCATCTCGTGTGATCACGTCCGTAATTCTCATGACCACTGTGTCTTAAAAAGCTTGATATTACAAGGAGAAATTTGATGCTGATCACTCTTAGGGCTTAAAGGTCACCTAAAAAGTGAATTTGCGCTTAGTTTCAAACTGTACTGCGTCTATTTCACCTCGTTCAATCCTACAAAGGTTGGCGACTTTTTCTGAAGATGAATTCTAAAGGACTGGATGGATCGAAGTTCAGGAAGAGAAAAAGAAAATCGTTGTCTTGTGTTTAAGTCCTTCACAAAACGCGAAATTAGGCACTTTCAAGTCGTAGTCGTGCAACGACGGCAAAGGAATGTATGAACAAGCGTGATGCACATGCAAAATTGTTGTTTTACTTATCTAAACCTTTTGCAGTTTGCCGTTCTCGTTGCCGTCGCCGTCGTCCGGCGCGTTGCTTAAGCTCCCTAAAGAATCCGGACACCGAAACCGAATTGTTTGGAAATTGCTTTCCAGCAGAGCGGTCACAAATCCGGATAGAAATATGCGTTTTCAAAAATGCCTGAATTTGTGTGGACATAGCCTCAGTGCTCATTTAATGTTCTTTGGTGAATTTTAACCACTTGCGTTATCATTAAAGGCTTTTTACAGGTTAAGGTCATTAATTTTAATCACAGGTAGCCCAAGCTCACTATGAGAGCCCTGACCAACATTATCCTACTTAGCTAATTAATTATTCATACAGCGAGAAAATTATAAGACGTTGTATGGAGAAATATTCTTTGCTCACTAAATTAGCAAAATGTACATTGAATATCGCTTTGAAGCTTACCTTTAGCGTCTTCTTGTTTTCCTTTGTATTCTGACTGCATTTCAGACCTCCTAGGCACTGTTTAAGGTCTTTTTTGGAGCGACAGTTTTTCACCCAGATGACAGTAGAGAGAAGAGAAGAGAAGGTTGGCAAACCTCTCTTGACCGGCTCCGCTCTCGGCGGCGATAAATTCCGTGACATTTGCGACATGGAGACAATTCCGCCAGAAACAGATGTCCTGATAAATAACGCACATTTTCCATCATTCACATCGCCAAAATTCCCATTTCGAAGGTCCTAAATCGCCAACGAAGTGGGCAATACACGGCTGAGGTGAGGCGTGTCGAGAGCAGACCCGCAACGGACTCCAACCGTCACGTCGACAATTCAAACCGACGCGGGCTGGCAGGGTCAAATTGTTCAACCGTCAAAGGACAATTGGAGCATTTAGCCTACTGGGCACAGTAACTGATTTTTCACTTCTCACATTGCACTCCGGGGTCGCGGAAGTCAAGCATCGCGTGTGATAGTGACATGTAATATCAAAACATGTCGCGATTATTCTTTAAATCAAGGCGAATCCAGGGTATTATTTTTTCTTACCAGAACTTTGCATCAAGAGAATAGCCAAGGCCACATTTCTTTTTAGGCACAAAACAATCGTCCACCGAATTTTCATTTAAGCGCTTTAGCTTGGAAAGCATCATAAAGAATAATCGTATTCGTAGCTCTTTGCAGCAAGTGAAGCCGTTGAAACCGTTTCACTCTTTTATTTGATTTGAACTAGACTAGCCGGCAAAACTGTCGGATCAAAACATTAACAACGCGACATGTTTTGATATTACATGTCACTATCACACGCGATGCTTGACTTCCGCGACCCCGGAGTGCAATGTGAGAAGTGAAAAATCAGTTACTGTGCCCAGTAGGCTAAATGCTCCAATTGTCCTTTGACGGTTGAACAATTTGACCCTGCCAGCCCGCGTCGGTTTGAATTGTCGACGTGACGGTTGGAGTCCGTTGCGGGTCTGCTCTCGACACGCCTCACCTCAGCCGTGTATTGCCCACTTCGTTAGCGATATAGGACCTTCGAAATGGGAATTTTGGCGATGTGAATGATGGAAAATGTGCGTTATTTATCAGGACATCTGTTTCTGGCGGAATTGTCTCCATGTCGCAAATGTCACGGAATTTATCGCCGCCGAGAACGGAGCCGGTCAAGAGAGGTTTGCCAACCTTCTCTTCTCTTCTCTCTACTGTCATCTGGGTGAAAAACTGTCGCTCCAAAAAAGACCTTAAACAGTGCCTAGGA